AAAACTAGTTTTAGGTTTAAATATATTTGTATGTACAGTAAGGCAAGAAATGTTCCGTGGTGCAGTGGTTAATTGGGTTTTTAGACCTCAGAGGTGGCGGTTCGAACAGAGGTATTGCATTAAACAATTTTTCCCTTTTAAGGGTATTTTAGTCATTTTCGCTTCATCCTCTTCTTCTTGATTTCGATTTCTGCAACCCTAAAACACAGTTTTCTTCGATTGTTTTTCCATTGATGTACCATTATCTTTCATTTTTTCGATATCTTTCACCCAAATATTGTAGATCTATTATATAACACTTGATTTCGAGTTACATAACGAACGAAAAAACATTTTTTCGTGTATTCCGAGTTTTTTGGCCGAATAGGGTGAAGTCGCGGCGGCTCCGGGCCGCCGAGCGATTTTCCGGCGAGAAAGCGGTCACCACGTCCGCGTTTTCGAACATTGGTTTTTTCTAATTGAAACTGTTTCTTCCTTCTTCCCAAAATTTACAGTAAAGACATGAATTCTCTAAGATCTTTGAGATACAGTAGCATCAGAGAAGCTTTAATTCCTCAATATCCGACAAAGTTATCATCTTTATGTCCTCTGTACTTCTACAATCAAAGGAGATGGTTAAAGCCTGTAGATTCAGCGCAAACTCGGTTAGAGAATCGAACAAGAGACAATCGATTAGACAAACTCATTGTCCAAATCAGGAAACTAAACATCATTCTCGAGATTTCGAAACTCATGTCTCGCAAAAAGCGTGGTCCTTTTGTGTCTTTGCAGCTTATGTCTCGATGGAAGAATCTCGTTGGTTTAAATGTAACCATTGGAGGATTTGTCGGTAAGTATCCTCATGCTTTTGAGATCTTTACACATCCGTTTAGAAGGAATTTGTGTTGTAAGATCACTAAGAGATTGAAGGCAGTGATTGATGAGGAAGAGAATGTGATTAGAGAGTGTGAGGTTGATGCAGTGAAGAGGATAAAGAAGTTATTGTTAATGTCGAGAAACGGCGTTCTTCGTGTTCATGCTTTGAGGTTAATTAGAAAGGAATTGGGTTTACCTGAGGATTTTCGAGATTCGATTTTAGCTAAGTATAGTTTAGATTTCAAGTTAGTTGATTTGGAGACATTGGAGTTAGTTGATTATGATGATGAGAAGAGTTTAGGTGTGGCAAAAGTTGAGGAATGGAGAGAAGTTGAATACAGAGAGAAATGGTTGAGTGAGTTTGAGACAAACTACGCGTTTCCGATTCATCTTCCTACAGGGTTTAAGATTGAGAAAGGATTCAAAGAAGAGTTAAGGAATTGGCAAAGGGTTCCTTATGTAAAGCCTTACGAGAGAAAGGAAATGTCGCGCGGAGTAGAGAGATTCGAGAAGCGAGTGGTTGCGATTATTCATGAGCTTTTGAGTTTAACGGTTGAGAAAATGGTTGAAGTAGAGAGATTAGCTCATTTTCGAAAGGATTTTGGAATTGAAGTTAATGTGAGGGAAGTTCTATTGAAACATCCCGGGATTTTTTATGTATCGACGAAAGGTAGTACTCAGACTGTGTTTCTAAGAGAAGCTTATAGCAAAGGCTGTTTGATTGATCCAAATCCGATATACAATGTGCGGAGGAAAATGTTGGATCTTGTGTTGTTGAAGAAACGTCATTCTAGAGAATTGTTGCAAACCGGAGATGAAAGCCATGGAGAGAAGAGAGATGTTGTGATTAGCTCTCATGATGATTGGGAAGGAGAGAGAGATGGAGATTGGGTCTTACCGATTCTGCGGAAATCAGACTGATTGGGAGTTTGTTTCTTCTTCGATATGTGGCTTCAGTTCTGAATTTCAGCTGTTTTAAATAGCCTTGTTAAGGTCTCATGCAATAAGGCTATAAGGTTGGTGTCTGGGTGCTCTGTTTAAACAGACAGAGGAAAACAATATCACAGGTTTGTGAGCCAAGAAGAGATAAAGCTACTTGATGAGAAAAGGTCAGAAGCTGAAGCAAGATGTTGTTTCTGATTGGTTGGTGAAGAAATTGTCATAAGCTTGGGGTGAAGTGAACTGGTTCAAGGAAATCATGGATGGAGTATTGACTCAAGTTTGTGACGATCAGAAAAGCTTGGAAACGTTTGGCATGCAGACCACAACAAGTGTGAATCTAAGCTTGAAAGTTGTTGAAACATAGACAAGGCTCAAGGGAAAATAAAGTGAACATGACCACTGCGACAAGCCACTTTTCGGGCTGTTTTTCCGGCAGAACAGACCGAACTAGAAATCAATTTTGACACCGTTGCAAAGATAACAAAGCTATCTTTTCACAGGACAAAACGGAGTTCCATTCCGACGTGAATTGTGGAAGTTATGAGTGTTTCTTTCTGGCCAAATCTGCACAAAAACCTGCAATTTAGTGAACGAGGAGTCATCTTCGATAACATATTCCCGTTGATTCTGGAAGTTCCAGGCCACATTTGAGGTGTCCTTAGACAGATATCACTGCAATGAAGATGTAGAAACTGGCTTCTTGTTAATCAAAGTTAAATTCCATCCGCAAATCGCTGTGGAAGTTGGTCAATAATTATCCAAATGGAGAATCTTCATGAGATCATTTGGAGAATCAAATGGATTCCGATCTTTCTGAAATTTGGGGAAACTAATGGTGGCATATTAAAATTCATAATCAACGGTGGGATTCAGTAGTTAACGGTTAGTTTGTGATTTATTTCTGTCATTTCAAGACTGGTGGTGAAATTAGAGCATGAAACTCTCTGTGTTCTTTACTTTATGCTCATACAAACAAACTCAACACACTTGAATGTATAGATTAGCCACAATTATGCGCAATTTGGAGATGCGATGATACAAGTTGTTGCAATCATGAGCTATGGGAATTAGAAACCTTTAAAACGAAATTAAGTTTCAGATTGCTTTTAAGAGTGGAAGAAGGAAATGCAATTCAAGGGGATTATGCAAATGCCATTTTTCTTTTTTTTTACTTCATTGATACAACAAATATTATTATGTCAAGAAATTTTCATGACATATATATTGTGCCTCTGTTTTCCATTTGGAGATAAGAAAGGGAATCAAAAGTGAGACTGTTTACCGTTTGATTCCTCAAGTCAGAAGTTTGAATGATTCCTAAAAGTAGTCACTACAATTTCTTTCTTTGATCTCAAACTCTTTTAAGAAGATTTTGTAGAAAACAAAAGCTGAACAGTGAACAATAAAAGACATGTAAACGAATATCTTTTGCTCATTTATTGCCTGTGAAAGGAGCAATAGTATGCATTTGAGGTTCTGACGCTGGGTTTGAGGTCCTTCAAGAAGATAGGGTACAAGCAACGCGATTCACACCACCAGCAAAATGGACGAGTTACACTATTATTGAGCACCACCTCAGATAATGAACTCCCCAAACCTGTTCTGCTTCTTGTCATGAGCCCTGCAACGTCTGCGAGGACACACATTGTATGCAAACTAGCTCGGTGATCTTTACACGTGTAGAACCATGTCTTTGGATTGGTTACTTTCTCACAAATGCAACACCAATATTTACCACTTGCCTCTTCGCCATAACATAGTGAGAGTGGATGATTGTCGACTCTATGCTTTACCACTAGTGGTAAAGTGGCGGATCTGAATCCCAGCACAAAATCACAACCATCTTCAATGCACCTGAGCACATGCAATTCCTTCATGTGGCAACCATTGCAGATTTCTTTTTTGTCTCGTGGAATGTAATATAACAGATGATGAGGATGACTTGGATGGACAAATGGCTCAGAAATTGAAGCGCACCGAACATCTAAATGTTCCATACGCAATCCACATGGAATGCTAAATCACATTCATGACATTTGTAAGCATACTCATTTTCACCAGCCTTGCCACATTTAGCATCGCAATCGAACTCAGTCTTCTTCTTGAGAAGGGTTAGGCTGTGCTGCATCTCGGAAGTGTCGATACGCAGTGGTGGTGGATACTTGGTACAATATAGATCCATGTTGAAGTCACATATCTCACAACAATAAAATAGATGTTGGAGTCCTTTTCCACATAAATTGCAACTATTATTTGGATGAATTCGAAGCCTAGGTATGTGACCGGGGTGAGATGGATGTTCGATATATTGAGTGTACTCACTGCATTTCTTGTGGACGAAAAACTCACATTTTTCGCACAAGTAATCATCTGTGGTAGCTTCAATGCCTCCACAACAATCACCTTTCCCCAGATGATTCCAAGGCACCATCAAATGCTCGTGGATCCATGGTAGTGACACTCTCCCATCATCAGAGTCCATGATCGTAGTATACTCTTTTCAAAAGAAGAAAAAGTTGAATCTGAAATCTCAATGCTGTGCTCTCTCCTCTCAAAACTCTTTTGAGATT